GGAATCCCCTGGGGCTAGAGTCAAAGCCTCAGAACAGTCCTGGTGACATTTTTCAAATTCGGAAAGCTTGAAATAGGCTTGGGCGCGATTTTTGAAGAAAACCGCCTTTTCCGTCTGGTTTTCAACTGGACAGGAACTAAGTGCTTTCGTGTAACACTCCACTGCTGGTCCATATTCCCCTTCCTTAAATTTCTGATTCCCTGGAAATAAAATAAAGAGTTGTCCATTATTCAAACCCCCATATTTAGAAAATTTGCTGCAAATTCTGAACTGATAAAAACAAGTATCTGTAAAAAAAAAATTAGCGCAGGGGATTCAAGAGCTTCTCCGGAAGTGACCGAATAGCTAAGACATCTCTTGGCGGTTTACCGAAACCTCGGCAACACATTTTCATTTTTAAAAATATGAAATTTACAAGTCGGTGATACAAATTCAAAACACTCGATCAAGGAAACGGTTATTCGTTAAAATTTTATTGATTTGTTCATACAGTATATATTCCCCAGTTCTCAAAATTATTTTTCCTCGTTTTTAAAATGACATTTTTACCTTCATCCTTCCACTCTGAGGGCAACTTGTCCAAGATTGGGCCCCGAACGGAATTTTCAACATCGGCTGTCATGTTGCAAAAGTCTTCTGAAATAATCGACGATTTTTGGAAAATATAATGCACCAGCAGCAAAGAGAGCTCCTACAAAAACTGCAATCGAAACACTCAATTTATCCTGCTTCAAGTTCACACCGTCTTCACAACATGCACCACTAATGACGTCCATTGACCACCTAAACAGACAATAATTGCAAAACTCCTGAAAACTTTGAACCAACAATTTCTTTGCAAATTAATGAATGAGCTCAATAAATTGTTTATTGCAACAATACCCACAAAAAAATCACTCGTGTCGAAAGCCGAAAAAATAACGATTAGGACTCGCTGTCGGCAACTCGTACATGAACTTCCCATTGGGCAAATGCCACAAGAATCGGACTCGCAGTTAGTTTCTTCTAGTAAACACAAAAATCACTGAAAACCGGTCTTACTCAAAACTAAAAGCGTCCAGAAATGCCCAAAAAGCTTTTAAAAAATCGTATCAATCCGTTTTCGCGAGATCATCGTCAATCTGTTTCCTCACACCAGCCCTGAACTCCATGATGAAGAAATATAACGACGGAAGCACACTTCGCAGCCAAGTAGCAGCCTTAGGGGCAATACCAGAAACCGTCACTTCTTTTTCACGTAAAATGATAGCTTTGATCGTTCGTTTCGCCACGGAATCCGGACTCATTCCGTTGGCAGTCGTAGAATCCATCGCTGAAACATAGATGAAGTAACATTTCATTAATTTTTTAAACATATCGAATGTACCCGATACACAAACAAATACTGTCACAAAAGATTCAAATCACGTAATCATTCGTTATAAAATTGTGAAAGTTCAGCAAAAGTTATTTTATATTCAGCGCGCAGCGACACACGTAGAATGAACGAGCTGGAAAACTCAAAACAGCGAAATATCAAATTTTAACTTGACCATTTATTTATCACAATGTAACTTCTAATAGCTTAGCCAATACATTATTCTAAAAAGTTCGATCACTTCATTGGTAACACTATAAAGGCAGTCACTTTTGCCTCGATCCTTCTAAAATAATTGACTCACCGTCGCAGCAACAGTTACAGTAATGAACAACAATATGAAAAATGACCTTGTCTAATATCCGAATCTTTTCCTCAGACATAGAACTTCTAGATCCGATGGATGGTGATGATAAATCGTCAGATGAATGCAACAATAGACAATAAAAAAAATACTTACAGCCATATTTGGATCCATCAGCAGTCATGGCATTTTCCGAAAGGCCAGTTCTCACGTACCCTGGGTTGACCACAGTGACAAAAACATTTCTGCTTGACGTTTCGGCCCGCATTGAATCGCAAAATGCTTGCAACGCATGTTTCGAAGCGGCGTAACAAGACCGATGGGGCAATGCTATCTTGCCCTGAACACTTCCAATCACAACGATGCTCCCACCACCTTGCGCAATCATTCCCGGTAGAAGAGCTGAAAAAAGAATCTCTTAGTACATTTTTGTAACAGATTTCGACCAAAGACCACCAGAAATAAAATAATAGCAAGTATACTACGTGTGATTCACAAAAATTGAAGCGATTCACACAGGATACGAACAGCGTCGGATGAGGCGTGACCCACCATGAACGATAAATCAATCAATACTCCGTATCGCCAAACTCCGTATTGCATACTACAGACACCAGGATTTCTTCAATTTCTCACACATAAACACCCACAAAAAAGGATTTTCTAATCATCTTTCTCCTCGGTCCTCACTGACGGATAACTTAGTGATGTTAAGTAAAGCTCAATAGCACCTTACATTCTCCCATATACCCGCAGTCAATGATGGGTCACGCCTCATCCGATAAAAAATAAATTTTCACGAACAGCAGAAATTAAAACAACAGGAATAAATTTCGACCAAGTTTACATACCTTTGCAAAGAGCAACTTGTCCGAAGTAATTGACGGCCATGAGCTTCACGTCCACAGCAAGGTGAGTTGAAACAATGTCTCCACGATAACTTGGAAATTAAATAGCACTAGATTGACAGTATTGTACGAGAGGAAGGTTCAATTGCGGGTTTCCACAGTGGGCAACAGTATAAGTTCAGACATGGCATACTCAAAATTATCCAATTTTGTATGTAGGTTGGGTGTGTGATTCTCAATAATAACGCAACAAAATTCCCTCAGAAAGCATCAATTCCATCGATTTTTCTTATACAACACATTTACATTTTTGTGGCATCAACTGAGTTGGCACTAAATTGGGGTATCCTTTAAGAACACAGTAGAGAGAGATTTGTTCTAAGGACATTTAGGGGTTGACAATTCTTGAAAATATCTCAATGATGACTACTTTCTGGACACCCTATTTGGCCTATTAAACGAAATCTCAGTACCTTCACGGAACAATACCCCAAACTAAACTTGCATTGGCAGACGGTTGCATTGTCAGGCATTCCTCCGTAAATACAAAGAAACTATTACGGAAGTACTGACCTTATTATTCGTTCTAGAATGATAATCCGCTCGTGCATTAATCGCCTCGTACAAGGCCTGCATCAACGTTTTTATCGCTGCATTGTCTGGCTCAAGGGCTAACGCTTGCTTGGCATCTCTGTATGCATCATCCAACTTTCCCAGTTTCTCTGACGCTGTTGCACGTCGAAACAGCGCCTTGGAATCCCCTGGGGCTAGAGTCAAAGCCTCAGAACAGTCCTGGTGACATTTTTCAAATTCGGAAAGCTTGAAATAGGCTTGGGCGCGATTTTTGAAGAAAACCGCCTTTTCCGTCTGGTTTTCAACTTGACAGGAACTAAGTGCTTTCGTGTAACACTCCACTGCTGGTCCATATTCCCCTTCCTTAAATTTCTGATTACCTAGAAATGAAATAAAGAGTTGTCCATTATTCAACCCCCCATATTTAGAAAATTTGCTTCAAATTCTGAACTGATAAGAACAAGTATCTTTAAAACAATTTTAGCGCAGGGCATTCAAGAGCTTCTCCGGAAGTGACCGAAAAGCTAAGACATCTCTTGGCGGTTTACCGAAACCTAGGCAACACATTTTCATCTTTAAAAATATGAAATTTACAAGTCGGTGATACAAATTCAAGACACTCGATCAAGGAAACGGTTATTCGTTACCATTTTATTGATTTGTTCATATATATTCCCCAGTTCTTGAAATTATTTTTCCTCGTTTTTAAAATGACATATTTACCTTCATCTTTCCACTCTGAGGGCAACTTGTCCAAGATTGGGCCCCGAACGGAATTTTCAACATCGGCTGTCATGTTGCAAAAGTCTTCTGAAATAATCGACGATTTTTGGAAAATATAATGCACCAACAGCAAAGAGAGCTCCTACAAAAACTGCAATCGAAACACTCAATTTATCCTGCTTCACGTTCACACCGTCTTCACAACATGCACCACTGATTACATCCATTGACCACCTGAACAGACAATAATTGCAGAACTCCTGAACACTTTGAACCAACAATTTCTTTGGAAATTAATGAATGAACTCAATGAATTGTTTATTGCAACAATACCCACAAAAAAATCACTCGTGTCGAAAGCCGGAAAAATAACGATTAGGACTCGCTGTCGGCAACTCGTACATGAACTTCCCATTGGGCAAATGCCACAAGAATCGGACTCGCAGTTAGTTTCTTCTAGTAAACACAAAAATCACTGAAAACCGGTCTTACTCAAAACTAAAAGCGTCCAGAAATGCCCAAAAAGCTTTTAAAAAATCGTATCAATCCGTTTTCGCGAGATCATCGTCAATCTGTTTCCTCACACCAGCCCTGAACTCCATGATGAAGAAATATAACGACGGAAGCACACTTCGCAGCCAAGTAGCAGCCTTAGGGGCAATACCAGAAACCGTCACTTCTTTTTCACGTAAAATGATAGCTTTGATCGTTCTTTTCGCCACGGAATCCGGACTCATTCCGTTGGCAGTCGTAGAATCCATCGCTGAAACATAGATGAAGTAACATTTCATTAATTTCTTAAACATATCGAATGTTCCCGATACACAAACAAATACTGTCACAAAAGATTCAAATCACGTAATCATTCTTTATAAAATTGTGAAAGTTCAGCAAAAGTTATTTTATATTCAGCGCGCAGCGACACACGTAGAATGAACGAGCTGGAAAACTCAAAAAAGCGAAATATCAAATTTTAAACTTGACCATTTATTCATCACAATGTAACTTCTAATAGCTTAGCCAATACATTATTCTAAAAAGTTCGATCACTTCATTGGTAACACTATAAAGGCAGTCACTTCTGCCTCGATCCTTCTAAAATAATTGACTCACCGTCGCAGCAACAGTTACAGTAATGAACAACAATATGAAAAATGACCTTCTCTAATATCCGAATCATTTCCTCAGACATAGAACTTCTGGATCCGATGGATGGTGATGATAAATCGTCAGATGAATGCAACAATAGACAATAAAAAAATACTTACAGCCATATTTGGATCCATCAGCAGTCATGGCATTTTCCGAAAGGCCAGTTCTCACGTACCCTGGGTTGACCACAGTGACAAAAACATTTCTGCTTGACGTTTCGGCCCGCATTGAATCGCAAAATGCTTGCAACGCATGTTTCGAAGCGGCGTAACAAGACCGATGGGGCAATGCTATCTTGCCCTGAACACTTCCAATCACAACGATGCTCCCACCACCTTGCGCAATCATTCCCGGTAGAAGAGCTGAAAAAAGAATCTCTTAGTACATTTTTGTAACAGATTTCGACCAAAGACCACCAGAAATAAAATAATAGCAAGTATACTACGTGTGATTCACAAAAATTGAAGCGATTCATACATGATACGGACAGCGTCGGATGAGGCGTGACCCACTATGAGCGATAAATCAATCAATACTCCGTATCGCCAAACTCCGGATTGCATACTACAGACACCAGGATTTCTTCAATTTCTCACACATACACACCCGCAAAAAAAGGATTTTCTCATCATCTTTCTCCTCGGTCCTCACTGAAGGATAACTTAGTGATGTTAAGTAAAGCTCAATAGCACCTTACATTCTCCCATATACCCGCAGTCAATGCTGGGTCACGCCTCATCCGATAAAAAATAAATTTACACGAACAGCAGAAATTGAAACAACAGGAATAAATTTCGACCAAGTTTACATACCTTTGCAAAGAGCAACTTGTCCGAAGTAATTGACGGCCATGAGCTTCACGTCCACAGCAAGGTGAGTTGAAACAATGTCTCCACGATAACTCATGCCGCCGTTGTTCACCAGAATATCAACACGACCGTAAACATTCAACGCTTCATCAGCCTTCGCTTTCAAAGAATTCAATTCACTCAAATCCAAAGGCAGAACGACAGGAGGAGTAACCTCCGTCACCTTAAAGATAATAAGAGAAGGGGATTCGTTAACGAACTCGGCCGTTTTCAGAAAAGTTACTGACGGAATGTCGTCTCATCAGCTCCTCACGAACACGATCCAGCTCTTCTTCACGTCGAGAACACAGTATCAATTTGCAACCGTGCTTGTAAAATTCATGAGCTAACGCTTCTCCAATTCCACTACTCGCCCCAGTGAGCATCACGACCTGAAATATTTCAAAGGTTCAAAGAAAACGAAAGCACAAAAATGCAACGAATTACCTTCCCTCGCAGAAAGTCCTTGTGAGCATGATATGACCAAGCTTTGTACGTATTGTACAAAACAATAGGAAGGCCAAACGGCAGCCACAAGCGTCTAATCCAGTTGAAGACAGGAGTCGAGACAGACCATTTCTGCTGCGACCGTTCTGGTATATCACCCATTCTATTTCACATCCAGAACCTCCAAAATGCAGCACTAGATTCAGAAGTAACACAAAATCAAAATCGCGCACGAAAACCAGCGAGATATACGGTCGATGAATGAACCATCACTTATCGCGGCGGAAATGATGCTGCTGTTTTGCATGATCTCAAGCGCTGTCTTCATTCAGAAGATAACTTCACCAATGGAATCCGTACTCGTGAAAGAATAACCACTTTTACCGGCAGAATGCAGCCTCACTGAATGCAGCGAACTTCCGCTATTCTACCTCACTGAACGCGCCATTACTGTATCAGGATCCTTCTACAGCATTCTAGACACTGGAATTTGAAAACTTGCCAAAAGTAGAGTTCCAACGCTCTGAGCATCGACGTACAGAAACTGAATAATATACCTCAAGCCAATGTTTTAATGCTTGAAAGCTTATGGGATACGCGACACTGATCCTCACGGTCACAAGTCAGAACCTGGAGTGACACAATCGCTATTGAGTGGAGTGCATGTGAATCCATCATACGGGGTGTAAATAAAATTTTGTTTTTTTCTTCTTCGGTGTAGGTGTCCATACAAAATTTGTACATAAGTACATCGCTGCTGCGTAGCTTCAAATAATGTCCATATTTCCCTTGAAATTTTTTTCGTTTACTTCAAAAAGACATGTCTGGCGTGCAGCCATGCAGGACACAAAAAATTACCTCAAATGTTAGCAAGGAAAAGAATTCTTGGTACAGTAGTATAGGAGACGGAATAAATACTGTAGAATAATTCATGCAGCAGTTCTTTCGATTTACAATTCTGCCTATACGGACTGTCTGAAATGCTTTTAGTGCATCCTTCAGGTTTTTTCAGGATACCGTAATCAGCAAACGCTTCTTTACTTTGGTCAGTATAAGAATGAACAATCACAGTAGTAACTGCATATTCTCCTCTGGGGTGAAAGCAGCAATTTTTTTATTCTAAAAAAAAACCTGCAGAAAAATGTGTAAGAACTTTTCCTGGTAGCCTCAAGAAGCAATTTGGAGACTGCCAATTTTTTTTACTGCTGATAATTTACAACAAATATCGAAATAGTACATCTGACTTTGAAATTACTTTTGGATTGACACTTGTAAATGGTTAACTTTTATTCCTTCACATTTGATTCAAATGCATGTGCCGACTCATTTGAAACTATATGAGATTTTTAAGGAACTAAAAAATTTTGGACGCAAGAAAAAAGCTTTTACAAAAAAAAAACGTGTGACCCTGCTTCTTAAGGCGCTGAAGCCCAGAAAACCCAAATTTCAACAAAAACCGCAAGTGAAGTCCGGAATTCGTCCTATCAATCGTATCCAAAATCCCTCCAGTTCCTTTTTACAGACCCCGGAATAAAAAGGAAACATTTTTAGGTGAGAAATTGCGTAACGCCTTTATTACAATCCATCAAAATATTCACAATCTCAATCCGCGTTACGTCCGCTACTCTGGGCTAAAAAAGAACAAATATCTCAACATGGGGGAAAATTAACGTGGCCATCAAAGGACAGTGTTGATTGAAGAACGAATTTTTCTTTTTTTTTAAAATCCACAATTCGACATCAAGCAAGGACGAAACGAAAATCATTTCCCTCATCCCCATGAACGCAAACCACGTTTCTTAGCTGATAAACTGATTCTGTGCATTGTTCGGAAGGCATTCTTTCGAGTAAGACGACAGGTAGGCAGGTGCAAAATCAACATAAACTTTGGTTCTCGCCGTCAGCTTATTCTTGGGAATCAAGAGTCAGGCCTTGAACGCAGAAATACGTCTTTCGACATCCATTGCAATCTAAGCTCCTTTCACACCGAAAAAGCGTTTGAAGCAAGCCGCGATCAAACGGTTTTCAGTATAAATTACACCAAGAATATGCTAACTAAAGAGAGCCAATGCGTCTAAAGTTCTCATCCTATAAGTCTCGGAATGTACACACAACAAAACCCAACAGAACCCCCTCACTTGTCCACTCGTGCAGTCAGCTGTTCGTAAATCAGGAACACCAAGCAAATGTTCGGTGTGACGTGCATCAAGTTTGGTACCAGTCCTTTGTAGAAGCCACGCAATCCTTCTTCCCTGAAGGTCTTATAAACTACGTCCATGAGACCAGAGTAAGACTTGTACTGGTCTTGCATTCTCGCTCGAACAACCTGAGCAAAAAATAAAAACCATTTACTTTTCAACACGCATTCCACCTCAAACCCAAAAATAGGTTCCGACACCTCGCAATTAAAGCGAACTGGAAAGATCACCGAGAACGCCAACACCAATAAAATACTGAGAACCCAGAGAAATTGAAAAAATTCTTTTGAATTATAAACGATAAAAAACATTTTAATGATTTTTTACTTGTCTCACAGAAAAGAAAGACAAGATATTGAAACATCCTGGCATCATTCAAATAGCAAAACGTGCTTCCTCATTTAATTAATTGCTGCGCATTACTTCACGTGGGACGCCTAATATACCATCAGTTCAACTGGATGATGTAGAGAAATAAAACGATCAATTTATGTCTGATCCAAAAAAGTTTTGAGCAAGGTTGAGCTGCATACATGAAAGATCTCCTAGAAATTTTCTTTATTGACTCTCCGATAAATTACGGCACCAAATGGATGAATGTTCAATCTAAAACATGAGAAAGTACAAGAAATATCAAAAGCAAGGACAAAGTCATCTCTTCCGAAAACTTGAATAAAATAATACTGGGTCTGACAGTAACATTTTCCAGATTTCGCCATTCTTTTTTTTTCGTAAACCATCCACAACGTGATTCAAGGCACACAAGTAAATCGTTGTGTGTAGTATTCATCACGAAAATATGCGGAGGGAACTCCGTGGGAGCAAAAAAATCGTTGTGTAGTCCACCTGTATAATTTACGAAGTGCTGTAAAAGAATTGGCGGCAGCCTGAGTCCATTGAGCAAAAATAAATTTTGCTAGGCGCTCATTATCGATTATAACACAGTTCATTAATCCCACAATTTTCCTCGTGCATTATGGCATTTGTGAAACGTATCAATAATACCATCACATCTGCGACAGAATTTTATTTTCAAAAGGCTCCAAAAAAAAAATCTTTTGAAAATTGAGTAACTTTTCAAAAGAACAATCAGCACTTTTCAGGCCCTCGAAATTCACTAGTGAAGTCCAAGCAAACACATTTGTTGAGCCAAACATCAATTGTTCGCACAAGCCGCCAATAGCATGAAATTCACCTGGTGTGGGTACGTGAGAACAGCTGCGAACATCTTGGAAACAGCGGCGCAGGCAAGGTATTCCGAAGTAGAGAGAGAGCTTGTACGAGGACGTGAATAGAAGGTGTTGCACTGGATCTTCAGTTCCTCATAAGCCATGAATTGCAAAGAACCGTGAATTACGCCGCAGAAACCCGGAACTAATCCCTAAAAACGACACCAGGAACATAAACCTCCTGAAGCAACAAATCTTGCTGGAAGACCTAAAGATGTTACTTGAGTTAAACCCATGATTTTTTCAGAAATCCAAGTCGGGATTTCAGAAGCTGAAAAGAGGACTGTCAGCTTAAGCGATTACAATGAAATGTGAAAATACATGTAGCTATAATCCCCAGGGAAAAAAAATACTGTACCATTATAACCAGAATATGTGGCAAGAGGCGAAATATTCTAAGTCAAAGTTGACCTTTTCAGTCTGTCAGACTGAAAACTTTTTTGCAAGTCGACGCACATCATCACTTTAAAATACAGAACTATTCAAGCCAGGACTGCTATCATGCAAGGTAGACAAAAAATACACAAATGTTCAAGAGAAAACATCTCATTATATCGAAATCAAAAACTACAAATAAATGCTCACAGTCACTTAATGCCTTCTATTGGCATTAATTTTGAAAAAAAGATAATCCGAGTTCCATGTTATCAGATGAAGTCTCAGATTTGAAAGTTGAATACTGTAGTCAGTTTTTGTCCATAGATTATTTCAGATCATTCCTTACTGTATAAATCATTCGAGTGGGCTCACGCTCACCACCAGACAGGAGGATCCACAATCCACCACAATTGAAAAAATAAGCTATTTACATGTACAGTACTGTATATCGAAGATTTAAATTCCATGACACATCTCAATTTGCGTGTAAAAAGTTTTTAAAGGAGTGTAGCAATCGTATTCATACGTTGCACACAGTAAAATCAAATACGGTTCAGTGCTAAAACAAATTAAAAGAATACTCAAATACTGCAGCGAAAATGTAACCGCTCTTTCAGGCGAAGAAAAGGAAATTGAAAAACATATTAAACTGATGCCCGGGGAAAAAATAAAGCGTGCGTTTCGAAGAACGGACGAAGTAAAAAAAAAAAGGAAAACAAAATAGGAGGTGCGTCGGACTCGGCCAAAATTAGCGATCCAGGGTCATCTAATAAAACACAAAAACGGCGTTAATAACACGCAATGTTAAACGGATACCGTGAGACAGGAGCAATTGCAAACCTTGTAGAGACCTCGTAGACCTTCGAATTTGTAGATCTTGAGAAAAGCGTCGAGAGAATTCGTGTAGTGAACTGACGTCGTTCCACCGCCTCCACTTGCCACCAGCGCCCGCGGACTTTGTTTCTGTATGATGATTCTGTAACATTGTCGACGAAGAAGTTTTGCTTTCAAAATCAAACATTCCTTCTACAAATTTTCGAAAACAAAAAGGAGGAAAAATGTTGAAAAAAAAAATGTTGCGAACGATGATTTTAATGCAACGCACGATAGTTTTACTTTCGCATTAATTTTTTTGCCTCTTCCGAACACAAAATCTACTTCGAATATAACTTCCCCTGAATAATGCGTTGCAATATACTATTCGTAATTTTTAAAAAATGTTCAACACGGAGAGATTGAATATGCAAAATCTGAAAAAATGACCTGGTTTTGACGACAGAAATCGGATTCAATGCAATCAAGGACAAGCCCCCGGCCCAGGCAGCAGCGACTAGATGCTGACCCGGACTTAGAATCTTGGTTTGATCGCAATCCGGCCCCTTCAACCACCTCTTCATGCTGTCATATCTGCACAGTGATTTCACCAAAAATTCATAGTCAAATCAATAATGAATAAGAAAAATTGCAATTATCCTCTCAAGGATTCAAGAAAGACACAACGGCCTATTGGAGAAACATACGCATAGAAATAAAGCCCCCAGCCGATGCCGGCAGTGCAAACGTTGGGCATAACGCCACGGTAAAGTCCGCTGACTCCCTCTCCTCGGACGATCATCCGCAATGAGGCGAAAACGCCGTCCGCCTTCGTCGCTGCTCTGCTCGTCGTTTTTCCATCATCCACTGTTATACCATACGAGAATGTACCAATAAAAAAAATCCAGTTTCTCAAATTCTACGAATACGAAGAATAAGATTATAGACCAGTATTACACAGAAAAGGAGCGAGGTGTGAAAAATAAGGTCTTTCTAGCGCAGAATTAAAAATTCTCTCATTCGAGTCTCGGAAGCTTTAAAATAGGTGAAGAACCAAATACAGCTATTAAAAAAAGCGTGTCAAAAATCATAATCCCTCAAAAGCTGAGGTTGGAAAGTGCGCACCTGCAAACCGTGTTTTGACGACGTCCAACGGATGAAGAATGAGTGTGGAGGCGACTCCTCCAGAAACGCCGGCAAAAAGGCGTTCGAAGTGCACCGACGAGCAGAACGGCGGCAAAATGACGAAACGGCGAGCTCCTCGGGACGATCTTTGCTTCTCCTTACTCGGTATCATGATTTTTTTCCTTTCTCTCAGCAATACGGACAATAAACACCTGAAAAAATATCCACAATAGCTTATTCCTCACAAAGAAAAAATTAATTTCCTTTGACCGCCAATATTAAATTCCACGAATGACAGAAATGTATGTAGCACGTGAATCACCAATCTAACAAAACTTGACTATCTCATTTAATTTATCGTAAAAAAGACTTGGTCAAACCAAAAGGATACAAATTCACAAAGGTCCCCCGAAAAACCTCGACTAAGTGTAAAAGAATCTTTGGGACATCTTCGTGACTAAAAAATATTTTAATTGAATAGGCTAGAATGCTATGTGTTACAGGGAGGATTAAAAAGAGCCCCCACAAAATTATTGATCGTTTCCACAGAATCTGTTATCATGCCTCAAGTTCAAGGACGTCTCTAATCCTGGCCAACCCTGAAGCATTGCCTGTTCTAAAGAATTCCTGCGAAACTTAGACAAAAGCAAAGAAAAACATGTGCTCAAGGAAGGTCAAGAGTTGAAGTAACAGGAACCCGGGAAATAGAACAGAAAATTCTCTTGATTGTGAAGTATCTTAGGGGCTGATTCAACGCCCAATTGAGTTGGAGGACATATTAACCTTACCAAAACAGAAATTATTCGTGAGGAATTTAACACGAGTCAATAAAATTATATGAAAAGCGAAATAAGATCGTGGAGTTGAGAAACAGTAAGGCGTCCTAGTGAAGAAACTTACTAAACAAGAAATTATTTCTTGAAAAAAATTAAAATAATCTGACATGGACTGAATTTCACTTACGGACGAGAACTGACGGAATAGGCGAGCTGGGGTTAATGATTCACAAGGGCATTTTTACAAAGAGCTTCAAGACACGAGGTCAGCTCCATGGAATTGGAT